AATTACAGGATTTTCACAAAGGGTGGCGTTGAAAAATTTTCCACTCCTTAGGGGGGCGGCACCTTCAAAAAGGTTGAGAATCACTGCTTTAAACCAACCAAAGGGCTCGCACACACTAAGCCACAAAGAAGCTAGCCAGGGTTTAAAACTCACCAAGCTTTGCACACTGCACAAATGACTTGGTTAAGTGTGTTGTGGGAACTCAGCACCAAGCGCAGAGCTGTTATTGCACTGAACTGTATTTTCTCCTCAGACAACTCCAGGGTAATAAATGCTGTTTCTAAGCTAGACCCCAGGCCAGTGTTTCTCAGCCTTGGGAAGTTGTATGGACTTCAATTCCCACAATTCGCCAGCCAGCACTGCTGGCTAGGGAATTCTGGGAGTTGAAGTCCACATGTCTTCAAGTTCCCAAGGTTGAGAAACACGGCCTCAGACCTTTCTTCTGGAGTCTTTTTCAAGGGAAGGTCTTAAGGAAAGCTGAGGAGCCTCAGTTGTCCCTGCTGGAAGACATTACAGGTACATCTGACCCACAAACTGCTGCTGGGGTGGAATCGTGACTCTGCTTAGCTTTAGGTTTGTGCATTATGAACCAACTTCTGTGGTTTGTAAACTGGTTAATGGCTTATGTATGCACTGAAGGCTTTGGAACATGATGATACCTACAGAGATTAGAACTGTGCAGACAATGGTTTTCCCTGTGACACTCTCTGGAAGTGAAAGTTGGACTTTGAAGAAGCAGGATGGGAAGAGTATTGATGTCTTTGAACTTTGGTTGGAGAAGACTCCTGAGAAGACCATGGACAGCCAAGAAAACAAACGGATCGGAAAGAAGAAGAAGGGAATGACCAGCAACAAGGTGGATGGACTCAAAGTGGCAATTGGGGGCACCGTTGGGGTGGAGCTTATGACACAACATTGCAGGGCTGCTTCCCCCTTGCCCCTCCCCATGACCAAGCACACGCCCATCTCCTTCCGTTGTTCCCCTGCAAGTGGGATTGGGAGACACGCTGCCCCCTAAACAGGAAGCAACGTTGAGTCTTCAAGACTCAAAGCCCCTGATAGACCCAGCTTCCGTATTTTATGCTTTTACCACAATTAATTATGCTATATTCCAGAGGTTTAATTTATTGAAGGAGTCCGTTGGTAGTACTGTAATGGAATAATCTGCATTTGGGTATCTCTTTTTGAGAAGTTGACCTTTCTTTAAATACCCCTTTCGGCTGTAGTCTTTTATTTTGATCCAGATTTAAAACAAAGCATCCTGTTGTTCAACACCTTAGAGTAGAACCCCCCCCTCCAAAAAAGGGAACAATGTTGTTTTATACACAGTTCTGGAACTCATTCTAAACACTAAACCCGTGTTTCTCAACCTTGGCAACGTGAAGACGTGTGGACTTCAATTCCCAGAATTCCCCAGCCAGCATGGGGAACTCTGGGAGTTGAAGTCCACATGTCTTCAAGTTGCCAAGGCTGAGAAACCCTGCTGACTAAACCTTAAATGTGGGTCTTAAAAATTTGCCATTGCTGTATTCACATCAGCTGCTCTGCTTGAAGAGATAAACTGCATTGTGGTCTAATTCTAAGGATGTGTGAGTTTCCAAAGCTCCTCGGAGCACAAAGTCTCCAACCTCATTTTGGGTTAGGGTGACATATCGTGAGAACCTCTCACCAAAAGCAGCCAAGGCTGTCATCCTGGGGGAGGGTCTCCAGCTGGAGGACAATTGTCCCGTGGCTTGTTTCGGGGTCATTCGCCCCCCCCACCATTAATAGCATCGATTGGCTGCCTCAAACAACATACTTAAGCTCTTAAGCTGTTTACTAAATTCACCCCTTTTCCTGGGGGGGGGCACAATATACTGAGTCCTAAATGAACCAAATGGGCTGGGTTATTTTGCACATCACCTTAAGCTGCAAAGTGCCCGATTAAAGCGTTGTGTGAATGCAGCTGCTGGGGGCTGCCTGACCTGGCCGCCGTGCTTCCCCATCCTGCTACCGAAATTCTGACTCACTAACACACTGCTGGTTCTTACGAATTTCTCTCTCTCCCTGGACCTTCCCCAGCACTCAGGAGGCTCCAATCGCTGGAGTCTCCCACTCGAGGAGTAGGACGAAGGCCTCTCTTGCCTTGCACAGAACTGCTTCTGGGTGGCATTCAGCAGTGGGCCTGGTGTTGGTCAATCACAGATTATAACAGTCTTAACCACCGTAAACCGCCCAGAGTCACTGGGAGTTGGGCAGCATATACATTCAATAAATAATAATAATTATTGTTATTGTTATTGTTATTGTTATTGTTATTAAAGCTAGATGGGTAGTTGTAATCCATGGCCTGGTTGCTTTTCAACCTGTTATAAGCCGCTCGCCTAGGTTGAGTAGAAATTGCTTTCAGGTGACTATGCAGAAAAAAAC